ATTTGTATTTCTTGCCACTGTTGTTGACTTTTCTGTAGTTGCTGCTGACTTTCCTGCAACTGTTGTAGACTTTCTTCCTGTTTTCTGTTTTGTTTTAGTTGCCACTGCTGTAGACTCTCTTCTTATTTCTTGTCTTTTTCCTCCAACAACTGCTGTAATCTCTCTTGTTTATTTTGTTGTTCGAGCTGTCACTGTTGCAGGTTTTCTTGCAACTGCTGTTGTCTCTCTTCTTGTTTATTTTCTTTTTCCTCCAGCAACTGTTGTAATCTCTCTTCTTGTATCTTTTCTCGTTCTTGTTGTTTCTTTTCTTGTTCTTCTTGTTTATTTTCTTGTTCTTCTTGTTTCTTTTCTCATTCTTCTTGTTTATTTTCTTGTTCTTCTTGTTTCTTTTCTCATTCTTCTTGTTTCTTTTGCTGCTCTTGTATTGCTGCCATCAAATCTGCTAAGCTGTAGTTTGATTTGTCGTTTCTCGTTTCCATTTTTTTCTTTTCCGTCCCACTCTCTGACACCAATTTGTTACATCTCCGTTCGTTATTTAATTTTCGTAAAAATTCTTTCCGATGGACTTTAGCGACACAAATCCTTTCTTAATAAAACTGGTTTATTCTTTCTGAATTCAACTTTGCAATACACTTAATTTTCACAGTCACGCTATAACTAACGCTGTAATTCACAACGAACGCCTGCTGTTAAATTATTTAACGCGGCTTTGGATTATTTCAAATTCTCAATACATAACATATCCTATAAGAGTGACAGTCAAATCACATTATTTGATTACACAAGAAAAGATCAAGAGCTGCCAGTGAATGTTGTTCACTAGCTGCCTTCCCTCTAGTCTATTAGCTTGAAATTAGGAAAGACTATGCACATATAGTCCTTAAGTAGCTTAGCGCGTAATTCTAGAACAATCGAAGTCACAGAATGTACGTAGTATAACATGGCTGAAAGTTGATCAAATCTTTTCTCCCATTTATAAAAATACGGGGAAATTAAATACTAGTGACTTATCGACTTGGGCCTATGGTTGAATATTTGTTCTATACGCTGTTACTATCGGTAGTTATTCTTGTTGGAAAGCAAAGAAAATATTACCTTTTTTGTCTGGTCTGTCACAAGTTTTTGATATTCATTAATACATCCACGTCAATCCTTACTGTACTTGATAAGTACAGTTATAACTAAACATTCAATCTTGAAAAACTGAGAAGAAGTGGAACTAATACTTTTAATCGTTTTCTTTTAGTTTTTACACCATTCTACCTTTGATGAAGTATTACTAAGTAACTACTATGCCTGTTGCTCTTCAAGGTATAAACACATTTAAGTACTTAACGGGTAACTACTGTTTTAATTATTTGTGAAACGGTGAACATCATCAGAATGTAATTATCACTTTTTTTTCTTTTTTTTTTCTTTGAAGGGAAGAAAGTAATCAAGTTACTGATGATTATATGCGGTTTTATTTACCGTTTAATTAGTAACTTTAATAAGGTGGTAACTGCTGTTTAATTAATCTGGAAGAGTAGACGTAATCAAGTACTTTATGGTAACCAGCTATTTCTATTTATCTTAAAGGGTGGGCGTAATCATTCATTAGTATTTCGATAAACCGATACGTATTAGCATTTTAAAATCAACTCTACTGTAATATCGAACAGCATTAGGAGGTTTCGGAGTTCATACTTATCCTCGGACTTTTAGAAAAATATGAGAACAATATGATTATTTTAACGACCCCAAAAAGAAATGTAGGGTTCTACTAATCACCGCATAAGACCAAATAACACCCAATTGAACAGCATGGGATTGGGACTAAATAGGATCCCCACAGAATAACATAAAACCCCAAGAAGATTACATAGAGCTAAATATGGCCCCGACAAGACTACAAAGGACAAAATTTATTCACATTACAGCAGAAAATATTATATTTTCTAACAAACGTAACAAAATTACCACAAAATAGCACTTGCAGAAATACCGCTAACATGAATTACTTCGTTACATATCACAGTAGCCATACCTTTCTACGTAGAGCCATATTTACTAAAACTTGGTAAAAATAACCAGAAAGTTTTATATTTATCAATATCCCGTGGAAATCGGAGATTGACGCTTTCAAAAATACCGCTGACGTACTTTTATATAGAAATAATACATGCACAATACATCTTTAATATGTAAGACAATGTGGAAACAACAGAGCGAATATGTGCGTAGTGTTCTTAACAACTTTATGTAAGAACTGTATATGATTTATTTATATATATATTTACTAATTGGTCTAAATAAGATTATTTTTGTGTTTCTATTATTTTACTAATATACATTATCAGAAATTTCATTGGAAAGTTAATGTATTTATGTACTTTAGTGCATAGTGTATTTTAATTATAGAGTAGGAAAAATAAATGCATCGTTTTTTGTTTTTTATGTACGTAATTGTTGCTAATTCTGTTTTCTGAATAAGTTTTGTGCGTAATTGTAAGTCAGTATATTTTTTGCATAGTTTTTGGTTACTTGGTTCTGAACAATGGAAAAAAGTAAACCTTCCTGATTTTTGCTAAATATGGTCCTATGTAGTATCATATGTGATATGCCCTATGCGATGATTACGACAACAATTCACATTAGCCGTATCATTGCAAATAATGTGTAATTCTCATATTTCTTATACTTTTTATCACTTATGTTGTCCAATGCAGTGGTTAGTAGGACTAGAAAGTAACGCTGCAGTGCCAAGAATAGAATAAGGCGACTTCCTTATTTTCGTATGATCTTCTAGGCTTACAAATTATAACGTATGATACACATCAGCCCAACAAGATTTTTGCTTTAATAATAACATAAAAACACATCTCTGATTCATTTGTCTTATCTTTATTTTGTCTAATAAAATTTGTTAAGTAGATACAAGAAACTGGCTAACAAAATAGAAGGCATATTGTTTTGTATTGATTTCTGTAACTATATATAGCATTCACAGTGACGTATATATATGTATGTGTGTGTGTTTGTGTATGTACTGATACACAGTAGACTGTCACGTTCGACTTCTACGAGCCTGTTTCAACGTCGCCTGTGCAACGTGAATTCCATATACACTATAAACATTTGCAGAATTTTCCCAAGGTTTTAAAATCATAATTTTTTTTTTAAACACTGTTGATCCGTAAACGTTTTAGCTATATAAACACTGATATTTCTCCGACTGCCAGTTTGCTGAAACAGCGGCATTTTGGTAGGTAATGTTACATTGGAAACAAACAAAGGTTATAAGGTATTGATACAAATCCCGATAACAATATACTAACTATCACAAGTAAGGAATACCCGTTACACACTGAACATTAGTTAACACATACTAGAGCTTTTAGCCACACCAAAATAACAAGACCATAAACCAACAAACATAGATATATTGCCCATCTGTTAATTGCTTTGTTTATTTAACTAAACAACCTAATACTGTTCGCAAAATTGCTTGCTCGTCTCACGAACAGCAATGTTATTAGAATTAACATAAATATAGAACCTGAATTTCTTATCGCAAAATCAATAGCACGACACAGAAGGCAATGTTACTCAAAGTAATAGTTTCACTTATTCGCTGGATTGATAAGATAGATGGATAGACAGATAGATCTTACCTTCTATAGAGAGCGCTTACTTGTCATTGAAAACTGTTAATATGAAGTTTCATTATGTTAGTGTTCCACAGAAATAACGGACGAAATATCATCGGAAACAATCGGAATATGTTACTGTCAGTTACGGGAGAAAGTATGCAAGGTACGATCCTGTGTTATCTATCGCCGGGCGGACTCTTGCTAGCAGTTCTTTACGTAAGACGTATTACCTTTACAGTACACGCTCCTACGTTTGCCGACTGAACACTTAACGCAAACAACTTCCCTGCTAAGAAGGTTCACGCAGCATAAGTTAAGAAGCATGCAATTAACTAAAAGAACAGCCTACAGAACAATTAGTGCCAATTAAAGACCTTGCTTTCCTAATTGGAAGCAAACAGTTTCCCTCCTTTCTCAATTGTTTTTCTATAATACGTATAACAGCGAAACCTCTCTAAAAACACTAGACGCGAACTGCCACTATCCCTGTAATTCCTCGGACCTTGTGCGTCATCATTAATATCGTTTGTCACCATGGCAACAGTTGAGCTCGCCAAGAGTCGTCTCTTACCCAGGGCACAAATCCCTGAAATTGCCATCATGTGTTACACCCCACAAAACAGTGACATCACAGAAAAATCTTTCTGTTTGGTTGGCACATGGAGTTCGTCTCAATAGTTATAATAAAACATCAACAACTACATGGTTAGGCTGCATCCAGGTTGTTTACTGTGTGATGTCTCCTCACCAAGTCTGTATTGTTGGCGCCACCGTTGTCTATGACTTATTCAACAACGTCTAGCAACTAAGAAATATTCTTATCGTGCTATCGTCGGAATTATGTCCATATGTTCCACTATATTATTTCTTTGTGTTATACAAGCGGTCTTTACACACAAATGAGCTTTACACGATGCTAAATTTCACATCAATGCTGCATGCTTAAAATTTAACTGGCTAAATCAGCATATTTATTGCATATATTCAATTATTGCGTTAAAGGGTTGCAAAATATATATGTCGCATAAAGAAATTTAAAATGAGAGCCTATATGCATGAAAATCCTGACCATTAACGCACACGTTTAAAAACAACAAAATAATTCTAAAATGTTCGTTAGAAACAACAGCATAAAATTGTTTGTGTATATGCTATGTCGAGTGGACTGAGCTTTACTCTTACAGATTTTTTTTATTATGACTGTATGTGATTGCTATATTTTTAAAATCCTGAAATACCCGTGATATGTTAGTACATATTTGCATCATCGTTATTTGTAGTATTTAAAAAATAAATTATTAATAATATGTTTTGCTTATGTAGAAACAAGATTTAACAGAAATACTATACATAAAGAGACATTGTGCTTTATTGTTATGTATATTATATACATTATATATACTTGTGTGTATAGGTATATATAGTTCTACTAGCCTAACTTCGCACATCTGAAGAATCTCTTGTTATTGTTTCCAAACACACAGCCAAGTTTCTGAGATACTGGAAAATTTCATGACTTCTGAATAGTGTTGATTTTTAAATATTAAAAATTAGTTTTTCTTTGACTTTGTCATTTTATTGTGTATTGTTTTGTATTATCAGGTAAAAGGTTGTTTAATCATTTCTTTATTATGAAATGTATTATCTTGTTAGTTTAAAATGTTTAAATGGTTTATATTTATTATAATGGATTTTAAATTTTGTTCAAAGGGTTTTAGTTTAATGTATCATTTTGCATAAATTTTTAAATGATAGCTTAAAATGTTTGCTTTTGTTTCATCTTACACTGTAATGTATTTCTTTTAAATCCAAGTTAAAGCTGATTCTAATTGTGGTCAAGTGTAGTTCTTTGTTAAAGGTTTTGTGTTGTAATGGAGTTGTAGCTATTTGTTAAAGGGCTGTGTAGTCCATTTGGCGTGTACGTGCTCTTGGAAATAAAGAAAAGTTAACGTGCTTTTTGATCATGTTGTCAGTTTAAAGTTTGTTGGTTTTAAAGTTAAATTTAATTGTCAACTTGAGGACAAGCCTGAAACAAAGGAGGAAGGAAAATTGTGATATGCAGACATATGATATGTTTTTGCCTGATTTTATTAATATAGCAATTTTTAATATTTTTTAAACAGTTTGTTTCTGTGCAATTTGGCATAAAACATGGTCCGGAAAACCATTAAAGTTATCTTGTTATAATATCCTTTGTGTCTTTATTATTGATAGAAGGCAATATATATATACTTCTGGAGGGAATGTTGTGTTATATCCATTTTAAAAGGGTCAATGACTTCAATGTCCTTTGCTGGCTGAGTGGATGATGACCGTATGTCAAAGCTGATGAATGCTGTGGGAGAATGACCAGTCATATAATGGTGTTATTGTAAAACAAAGGAACTGAGATTTCCTGTATCAGGAAAGAACTGTAATTCTTCAGATTTCTAGTTGGCTATCATTGTGTGTAGGTCTGTAGAGATTAATTTCAAGAGATGGAAAGCTATTGAGCTATTCACTAATCAAACAGAGGCCATTGTCTATACAAGAAAATACATTTTTTTTGTTTTTGCTGTGTTATTAATAAAGATTGTTTTCCCTTTTCTTCAAACATGTCCAGTCTATATATTTCTCACACAACACTCAGTCGAGTTTTAAAATTCAGATTGCTCTTAAAAGTTAATGTTTGATCCTAAGCTATTAGGCAGACCTTTCTAATACTTGCGAGGAAATCAGTTTTCCTGAGAATACCATACGTTTAATCTGTTAGTTCAAAATTAGAGAGCTAGTGCAGATAGCCCTGGAGTAGCTTTGCATGAATATCCAAAAACAAGCATTTTTGTTTGTTTAATGTGTGAATTTCATTGCATATTTATGTTGATGATTATGAAAAACAATATTTCATTGGTTTAGATACTCGAATTCTGCCATTTAAAGTTAAATTTCAAACTTCGGGTCTAGAAAAGCTCTGAGGAAAATATAAAAACGAACACATTTATTTATTCATATTCAACAATATATTTGTTTTTAATTTTCATGCAAGTGTTCTCATTTCACTAATAAATAATAACTGAAGTTCTTGTAGATCAAAAGTTGTATGTACATGTTGGTATGAGCTAGGAATTAGTATTTTCTTTAATATGTAATGAAAATGGTCAATGACCTAGATAATCAAGGATTATAAGATACCACGTTAGACTTAAGCAGAACTCTTTTTGGAGTGCAGTTGTCTCCTACCCACCTCCAATTGCCACAGAATCACAGTCACTACTGAGAAGCCAGCCAGCTTACGAAAAACGGAAAACGACTTTTGTCAAAATAAAGATTTTGTTTCTTTGCTGAGTTCGAGTCTTTGAGTCTTTTCTTTAATATTCATGTTATTTTTATTCTTCCGCAAGTATTTAATTTAAATGCCCCACATTACAAAGGAGCTATGTATATTACAGTTTTACATATGAATGGCACAATATTGTGAAGATTAAAATAAATTTTAGAGTATCCCTAACAGCACTGCATTGTCAAATGATCGTGATTTTGCCTTGAACCAAATATATAGGTGATAAACTTGCCACTGCTGGTGTCACAGCCCAAAGCAGTATCAACAAGCCACTGTATTAACATATGCAAAACATTCCTATAAAGTACAGTTTTTCCTCTGTATTATTCAAGAAGCTACTACTTCAAATGGTGGAAACCTTATATGAGAATATATATATATATACAAAAACTGATGATTCCTTTTTTTATTGGAAGATGTTTTCAGGAATTTCATTTTTTTCAAATAAACTGTTGGTTCAGAGATATCATTTGGAAGTAGAATATAGTCAAAAACGTGCAAACTGAAGTTACATGGACTACATGTCTAGTAATAATAGTTGGATGACGTTTTGGATCACTTTTATGTTCTTTCTTCAGGTTAGATATACACGAATGTTTCCGTTTAAGTATAGAATGCGGGTTAAATTTAGTTATTTTTAGAAGCAGTACTTTATCGCAGGTTTGTTTACGTGACTATGTACGGATCATTTGTTGTGTTGTTCAATTGTGAATTGGTGCATCATGTTACAAGAAACCTTTCCGTTTTTCTCATTGTTTTGATTGAATATTATTGCATCATAATATCTCATTGTGTGTAGAACGTTCTAGGCCTCTGTCAGGCTATAAATACACGTCCGAAATGTAGTTCGAGTTAGGTATAGATATGGTTAGTTAGATCTGGACTGCATCATTGTGAGTTTAGCCATAAAGAGCATATAATGGTGTTTTCTAAAGTGAAATTATCGCAGATTGTATTGCAATAACAGAGTACAGAAGAAAAAAATTGTCTTTTCAAATGTTTTATAAAGTAATTGAACCAGCCTGTGTGGACTTTGGCAAAAAAAGACAAATATTTAAAGCTCTGGATACAACTGTGATAATCAACAATATAATGAACATTTGTATGTACATTTGACTTATTTTAATATGACATTTTAAAACGAATGAACTGTTTGATGTTTGATTGTTACTGAAATTTATCACCAAGAAGTCACAGACACCTACTGTAAAGAATGCTGCCCATCCATACATAAAAACTATACATTGGTGAATCAGCCAGAATTATACAGTGGTAAACGGCAGTAGATATATACAACAGTGGGCAAAGTAGGCCTATATATCCACAGTTGTAGTGGTGGCGAAAATATTGTAGAGGTCACAACCACACTATATAACCATGATGACTGACTTTGATAAGTGGATAGAGAGGGGTGAGTGCCTTGGACTTAAGGATGGTGATCTACGAGAGTTTGGTAAACAACAAAAAGAAATATCTGATCAAGCAAGAAGTCGAGGTAATGTTAAAAGCCAGAATCACTGAGCCTTCGAATTCAGCCTTCTATTCACTGGTGGTAATCGTGAAGAAGAGAAACAGCTCAAACTACTTCTGCATAGATTTTCAGAAGCTGAATCTCGTGATGAAGTTCAACTCTAAATCCATGGGCAACCCAGAGACTATCATAGCGAAACTAGTTCTTTGACCTCAGTAAAGATTACTGGCAGATCCCAATGGAAACAGAATCTAAAAAGAAGACAGCGTTTATGACAACATATGGATGCTACCAGTTCAGGAGGATGTTGTTTTTGGTTAGTCAGCTTAGCAGCAGCATTCCACCACATGATGAGGAAGATGTTACACAAAACCACTAACATCAAGCATTATGTGGACGACATTCTGACCCACACAGCCAAATGGGAAGACCACCTGAAGAAACTCAGAGAGCTGTTTGGGTGAGTGAGGGCAGCAGGTCTGACCATCTAAGTGCTACATCAGTTATTCTGTGCTGGACTTTGTTGGACACAAGGTGGGTGACTGACAGATAGCCATGGAAGAGAAGAAGGTAACCAGCATTCAAGATGCACCAGCTCCAACGACTAAGCATCAAGTCAGATCCTTCCTAAAGTTGGTTGGATACTATAAGAAGTTCATCCTAAACTATGCTGAAGTTACTGCACCACTGACTGACCTGACCAAGAATGGCCAACCCAACAAGGTGAAGTGGGAACAACTACAGCAGATGGCATTCCAGAAGTTGAATAACATGTTAGGAAGTTTGCCAATCTTTAGAATGCCAGACTTCAACAAACTGTTCATTGTTCAGGCTGATGCATCAGACGTTGGAATTGGAGTAGTGCTTCTGCAAGAGCATGTAGATGGACCATACCCCGTAATGTGCATCAGTAAAAAGCTGTTAAGTATTGAAAAACTTACTCTGTGATTGAACAAGGGTGTTTAGCCATCATAATTGCCATCTGGAAGTTCCAAAATTACATCTGTAGGAAGGAGTTCATCATACAGACCGACCTTGCATACCTCCAGAGGTGCAAACTGACAGGGCGAGGAGCATGAGGTGGGTGTTGTACCTCCAGAACTATTTGTTCTACATTGAGGCCGACAAGGGGACTGCAAATGTTGGTGCAGATTGTATGAGTAGACTTCGTGCATGTACTGAAAACAGCCTTTTTATAAGGTACAAAAATGTTGTAAGCATTTTTTTCTTCAAGAGGGTCTTATTGTTAGATACACACGAGTGTTACCGTTTAAGTATAGCACGAATGTTAAATTTAGTTATTTTTAGAAGTGTTAGTTTATCACAGGTTTGTTTACGTAACTGTGTATGAATCATACATTGTACAGTTCAATTGTTGTGAATAG